ATGCTTCTGCCATTTTCCATTCAGAAATGTAATCAGTTCACACTATTGAGGTAATTTTTTTTCATCCGTACGTTTTTTGGCCCCTGTCTCGTTCCAAAATTTTTATGCTATTTCAACAATTCATTTATCAAAACGTTCCRCTCATTCAGGACATTCCGGCTATGACTTTTGGTATTTCTGCTATTCATGCTTTTTAGYTATTTCACTTTTTTAGCCACTTTTTTGCCATTGCCATTCTATGGAGCTATTTTCAAAAACCTTAAAATCCTTCAAATTGTTTCTAAATCTCTACAAAACTTTACACAATTTATTGTGGTTTTGCTCTTATTAAATTCCTTGTGACAATTTTAGCTGTTTTTTTGCAAATTTTAGCCTTTTATAATATTTTAAGCTATATGTCTGTCCTTTTTTGAGCTTCTTTCTATTTTGAGTTATTTATGTTTCTTACAGTTGCTTTCTTCTATGTTCAGCTATTTTTAGCTTTTAGATTTTTATGCTATTTCAGCTATAATTTTTCATATTTTTACTGATTTTCTGCTTTATTTGTGCTTCTTTCAGATTTTTCTTTCAGCTAAAGTTTTCAGCAACAGGCATTCACACTAGCATTTTCACAGAAAATGCAATTTCTCTAGTTTCATTTAGTTGTTCGTCCAAAACTTAAATTTTCTAGTCATCATTTCTTTCTGTCTTTTAAAACAAGTGTTGTCATGAAGACAGCAGCTTTAACATATACTTACTACAACGTTTTATACATCAAATCAAGGGTATTCCATCAGTTTAGGTTATTACAAATAGACATGTAAGTCCCAGATGATTTGCTTTTTATATTCATTGAAATTTATTCAAAAATGTTCTAGTTTCTTTTGCTGTGTAAGTGTGACAAAAGATCTCTCTGACGGTCAAGCAAAACAATTACAACAAATTGTGTGTTTCTGACATTAGGCAAAACAAAACAGACTAKGATCATGCGGAATAATCACATCTGGACGACATCTTCCATGAGCCAATCTCCACAGGAAGCAGAGTAAATAAAACACACGACTCAAACTGTTTTTAATGCTCGGAATATGAAGGAGCGTGTTTTTCCACACCGCAGCAAAAGTGCAAAGCAACAACCCATCTATAATGCACATTTGGTATTTAAAGTCTCCATGCCTCATGGTCATATTTGTACTGAATTGAATTTATTACAAAATGTGCAGTGATATGAAACATGTAGCTGCAGGGCCTCTGTTCTCACATGCCGGTGCAGGGGGGAAAAAAAGGCATCAGATAGAGAAATAAACAGAGCCATGGCTGTGAACGGCCCACTTCTCACAAGCTCATTGGAGGTGAGCAGAGTGGATTTTTCATTGCTGCAAAAGGGAAAAAAAAAGGAGAGATTGAGTCATTAAATGGATGAAGTGGACTTGATGTCACAATTTCTTTCACTCCAGAGTGAGCTAAAGTTTTAGAGCTGCAGGCTCGAACTCATCGAGAAGCACGGTTCCATGATGGATTGCCCATTGTGTGTCATGTTGTTCTCTCAAGGTTTGTTGCAACTTTAACCTAATTTTTAATGTATCAAAAAAAAAAAACCACAAGGAAAAATTTTAGGCCTTGAATTTTTACAAAGCAGTCCTGAATTATGCAGCAATCAGTCAATTATTCATCTCTGTGGCTGTGTGCTACGGCCATGCTTTAAAAAGCATGCAAAATGGGAATGGGCCAGACATGCTGTGTCAACACATTTCACTCAGAATTGCTTACATGAGAACTTTTCTTTCTCTCTCTCTCTCTCTCTCTCTCTCTCTCTCTCTCTCTCTCTCTCTCTCTCTCTCTCTCTC